CCCTGGGTATTGCGATTATTCCGGAATTCTAACTGGCATAACACAGAGTTCGTGTCGAGGGTTCGAAACCAACATGTCTCGGTCCCAGTGTCGAACCCCTCCTGCCTTGTTCCGCGCTTGTCTGATCCTCTTGGAATTCAGTCACCACTGCGGGCGCGAGTTGTGGCGGCTATGTCAACCCTTATTTTTGTGGAAATCACAAACCGCTAGCTGGAGCGCTTGAAGGCACATGTGTCGGGCCTATGCAGCTGTGCAATTTGGGATTTCACCGTCACGGGCAGTCCTCCATAGGAGCTGAGAGTCCTGGCAGCAACACGGGTGAACACGAAGCTTCTTTGAGAGCGAAACACACGAATCTCTACTCCAGCCCGGACTTTTCCAGCTGCTGTGCTGATACTTTCCAAGCATCTCGGAAGCTTTCGGCAAGCTAGAACACGTCAATAACCACCCTGGCTCCTCTGCCATCCACGGAGACGGGTCTTGCCTGGCCAGGTTCTGCAAAGAAACACAGCTCCACTCCTGCAGGACGTGGTGAATCGGAAATACATGCATACACACTTACAAAAATGCGTTTATCCGAAGGCGGAACGAAGGAATGTATAGGGGTTCACGAAGAACGGCCGTGTATTGAAGCGTAGAGGAGGAACCCACGAAAGAACGAAGACTTGCGGAGGACCTCATCTTAATGCAGGGGCCTTAACGATTCGAATAGGGTTTTGGGGTATATTGCACAATAGTTACAATAAGGAAACCCAAAACAGTATAGGTAATCATTTAGGCCGCTATATTATACTCCACAGTGTGCAAGAGGCGGCCCCGAGGGGCCTGGAGGTAGGTGGGTTTGGGCGTGAAGGCGGATCGAGAAGGGGCTGCAACTCAGCGAAAGGCTATGTGTTTTCTCGCTGCCAATACATACATATACATATACATAGACATAGACATATACATATACATATACATATACATACACACATACATAGACATAGACATATACATATACATATACATATACATATACATACACACATACATAGACATAGACATAGACGTAGACATAGACATAGACATAGACATAGATATAGACATAGACATAGACATAGACATAGACATAGGCATAGACATAGACATAGACATAGACATAGGCATAGGCATAGGCATAGGCATAGACATAGACATATACATACGTACATACATAAACACAGATGCCGGTGTACGTATGGTCATACATACCTGCGCGTTTATGTGGCTTCTATAAAATATACCTATGATGTAGCATAGCATAGAATATTCGAGTACAGCATCACAAAATATCACAAAATACTATATCATACTATATGGATATACATGTATGTGCACATATAGTTTCTGCACATACAGACAGACATTGACATGTCTCCATACAGCCTGCATAGATCCCTGAGCCCCAGGCCCTCAACCCTAAGCCCGTCAAATCCAACTTTTTGTATGTTCTTATTACGAACCCTAATATGGGATTTATAGGGACCCTACAAAAAAGTAGGTTTTGGGTTCGTAAGGTAAGCCTTCAAAAATCCAGGACGCTTTGCGCCTGGTCCAGAGATGCTTGCAGCTGCGCATAGCGCTCGGGGACCTGCCGGCCTCCCGTCTGCTGAACCGATCATGATCCCACATCATATATATATATATATATACATAGCATTACATAACGTTATATCATAGTATAGATATGTATATATCCATATATATACTTTGGACTCTTAGTAGAACAGAGATCCTCATTTTCAAGTCGCCACACCCGTGGTTGTGCATGGCAACCTTTTTGCTCTACTCCCTCTCGTGCGGCCATGATGATGCTGATGAACTCCTTTTACGAAGAAACACTACCAGCGCAGCTTTTGCAAGCTACTTGTACTATATACTTAGCTGATAATGATGATGATGATGATGATGACGACGTTAAAAGTGATCACGATGACAACGATGATGACGACGGCGACGATGATAACGATGGCGACGATGATAACGTGTAGAAATACCGATGCCCTCTTGCTCTCACATGTGTAAGTAGGCCATGCACGCATACATATGTACAGAAAAGGTACATTCATTCGGACATACATACATACATACATACATACATACATACATGCAAAAACATATAACATACACATATTCGTGCTCTCTGTGTGCATATGGACACGTAGCACACACAGGTCATGCGGAGCCATGATCTGCAAGGTGGTTTATGGCAGAGTTGTATCGCCAGGCTGGCGATCTGTCATGTGGGAACCAGCCTTAAGCTTGTTCCGCCCTGGATACCCCCCTAAACCCTAAACCCTAAACCCTAAACCCCCCAAAATGAAGCTCTGTGAACACATAGCCTCGCGCCACAGCCCGACTCTCGGGTTCTCACCACAGTGTTAGGGGGTGCCAACCACGGTGCTCGTGGAATGGTTTGTGGGTATGTATCTCTTCTGTCTCTCTTTATACTGCGTATTGTTGATTCATACAACGTAAAGAATGCGTGACATATAGGGGTAGATATATATATATATATAATGTATATATCTTGCAATTACGTGCGTGTGCAGCATGGCTGCCAAGTTTTCGAACTGGCCTTATGAATTATGTGGAATAGTTGGCCCAGCTCTGATCCTAATGGTTGCAGGGGAGAAACAATCCAGAAAGCCATGCGTGCATTCCAAAGCCGAAGCAGTGAACCTGGCTCTTGGAACATAGCAGGTCTCCAGTCCGCTCCAACATCTATGGACACTGATTGGCAAGCAACTCCTAACACCCTAAATCCCGAACCCTAAGCCCTAAACAACTCCTAACACCCTAAATCCCAAACCCTAAACCCTAAACAACTCCTAACTGCTTCAAGGATAGCTTGTGCCAGCCTTGTTCGCGCAAAGCCCTTCCGATCTCCTGAGGGCATCTCTCGCACTTCATTTCCAATCCGGTCTCTCCTGCTCGAGAGGTCGATACTACAATTAGACTATATTATATTTAGAGTATATTATAACTATACAATTATAGTTGACTATAACTATAGCATAGTATACTAGCTTCCTCGGGAAACAGTGGAAAGAGGAGGCAAACAGAAGCCCACGCAAGAGGACTTTGCAAACTGCCCTGGCTCGAAAGAAGTCCTGAGCCCCATCGTCAGCATCTGTCATTCTCATGCATCGAGCGCAGCCTCAGTCAGGGCGGCGTGTGCCTCGCTACCATAACCCCACACTGCACATTGGACGAAAGCCCAAGCCATCGCCCAAGCAATCTGCATCATCCAGGTGGTGGAGGGAAGCCATGGCGCAGTGCACCTGCACCTCGACATCCACCATTACAGCTTCCATTGATTCGATTAACTTCCGGCTTCACTGGGGACATCTATGAAGATGCCATGCTATTGCAATGCACCCACAGAGACCATGCAGCCTAGGTGATGGGCCGGGACAAACTGCTGTGAGTCCTTCTGATCCTATATTTGAATGGACCACATCTTCGAATCCTGTCTTGTGGTCTAGACCCCTCCTGAGCCAAAGGTCGAGGAGCGGCGCACAAGTGTCTCTAGCTTCTTGGCCAATGGACTTGGCTGGGGGTAGCCAGCTTGGCAGTGTAGATTTGCAAGACGGCTTCATGCATGTTGAATCGCGCTAGCAGTCATATGAACAATGCGATTGCGGAGAACAACCAAACCTTGTTCCACAGTGGCCACCTGTTCTCAACCAACACACGCATACACACGCTACACCTACACACGCTACACCTACACACACACACACACACCTACAACTGCATGCCCTACTTGTCGAGGCACCCGTTCGCCACCACAGTGCGGTTTGCACGCAGTGGATGCTCCAATCAAAACGAGGCTGTCAATTATAACTACATTCTATACTATACGGACAGCTCTGACATTGTGCAAAAAGGATTGCTGCCGAGAGCTGCGTGGAGCAACCTGGCGATTTGACGGCCACTGCGGCCACAGGCCTATTGGCCTTTGGTGCAGGCCACTTCTGCGGCCTTCAGACTTTGTTGGAAGGCGCAGTGACGCTGGAGGCTCGGAAGCTCGCTGCTCACCACGCGTCAGGTGCTCATGTGATCATGCGACCCATGTGCCTTCCTTAGCTCTGCCTTTCTTTGGTACCCTGGTCGGTGCCCCCCGGGCCGAGAAGATGCCGAAAGTGCCCGGGCCCCCGTGCTGTGTCGCAGGGAAAGTCGCTGTCCGACCGTGGTCGAGGGCGATACCATGCACCCTCACAAGACGATGTAGTCTCGTTCGAGAGCACTCTGGCACTGGACAACGACAAATGACAAGACTTGCCATGGCCCTTGGCTCAATCGTCCGAGTCCGAGTCATTTGAAGCTGCTGGCGGCCGCTGAGGTCTGCTCTGCAAGGGCCTCGCCGGCCTCGCTGGCGCTGGCGCTGGCGGCGCTGGTGCCGCTTTGGGCGCCTCGCGCGTCCTGGGAGCGGGCGACGCTGCGGGCGACGGTCTCCCGTCCGGCTCGTCTCGGCTCTCCCTGTGCGGAGCTTCGCGTGCCTCGACTTGGGCTGGAAGAGCGCCGACATCCCTCGCTGCTGATGAAGCAAGCGCCTCTTCGCCATCTCGTCCCGCATGGGAGGTGGCTGCTACATCCGCGGCATCCCCGGCAGCAGCTTCGTGTTTCGACTGCTCGAGCTCCTGATGTAATTGAGCTCTTGGACTACCAGCTTCGCTTTCACGATCCTTGCGGCTTTCAACCTCTGCGCCTGCTGCAGGCTCATCGTTCTTGATTTGCGCATCTGCGCCCCCTTCTGCGGCAGCATCACGATCCTTGTTGCTTTCAACCTCTTCGCAGGCTGCTGGCTCATCTTTCTCGACTTGCGCCTCTGCGTCTCCGTCTGCATCACGATCCTTGCGGCTTTCAACCTCTTCGCAGGCTGCAGGCTCATCTTCCTCGCTTCGCGCCTGGGCCTCTCCCTCTGCGACATGATCCTTGTGGCTTTCAACCTCTTCACCCGCCGCAGGCTCATCGTTCTCGCTTGGTGCATCTGCATCTCTTTCTGCATCACGGTCCTTGTCGCTTTCAACCTCTTCGACCGCTTCGGGCTCATCTTGCTCACGTGCTGCCTCTGCATATCCTTCTGCGTCATGATCCTTGTGGCTTTCAACCGCTGCAGGCTCATCGTTCTGGCTTCGCGCCTCTGCGTCTCCTTCTGCTTCTGTAGCCTCTTCGCCTGCTGCAGGCTCATCTTTCTCGCTGGGTGCCTCTGCATCTCCTTCTGCGTAATGATCCCTGCGGCGTTCAACCTCTTCGGCCGCAGGTTCATCGTTCTGGCTTTGCGCCTCTGCTGCATCTGCTTCTGCGTCATGATCTTTGTTGGTTTGAACCCCTTCGCCTGCTGCAGGCTCGTCTTTCTCGATTTGCGCCTCTGCTTCTTCTTCTGCATCGCGACCGTGAGAGCTTGCAACCTCTGTGCCTGCTGCAGGCTCACGTTCCTCGCTTAGTGCCTCTGCGTCTTTTTCTGCGTCGCGAGCTTGGGAGCTTGCAACCTCTTCACCAGTTGCAGGCTCACCTTTCTCGCTGTGTGCCTCTGCATCTCCTTTTGCATCATGATCCTTGTGGCTTTCAACCTCTTCGCCCTCATCTTTCTGGCTTTGTTCTGCATCGCGATCCTTGGGGCTTGCAACCTCTTCGCCAGGCTCATCTTTCTCGCTGGGCATGTCTGCATCTCCGTCTGAATCGCGACCTTGGGAGCTTGCAGCCTCTTCAACCGTTTCAGGCTGATCTTTCTCGCTGTGTGCCTCTGCGTCTCCTTCTGCATCACGAACCTTGTGGCTTTCAACCTCTTCGCCCGCGGCAGGCCCATCTTTGTCTCTATTGGCCTGAGTATCGCCATCCATGCTCGAAGCCTGTTCTTCGTCTGGATCTCGGTCCTTGGAGCTTTGGGCAACTGGGCGCTCTTGCTCGCTCTGTGCTGTGACTGGAACCCCATCTCCTTTCTCGCTCATCTGCAGCTCTGCCCCTCCTTGGCTTAGAGTTTCGTCCGCTTTCGCGTCTTGGTTCCTGGTGCGCTGAACGTCTTCGAGCCCTCGCGGGCTGTCTTCGTAGTCGGAGCTGCTGTCGTCCTGCCTTGGAGCTGGAGTCACCTCAAGCCAATCTTATGCAAGTGCCAGAAGGGAGACAAGCAGACATGGTGTCATGGGCAGGTACGGCGTTCTTCCAGCCTCCGCATCCTCACTCGCGGCCCCAGGGCTGCAGGGGCTCTGGTCCTCCTGAGCTGGCAGTGAGTAAAACAAAGTAACCCTGCTAAGTGCTGCTGTTTGTTCAGTGATCGCGGTATAGTATGCATTCACTGCAGGGCTCATTCGTTGACTCATGTTTCGTGCAAAGTTCCAGGCCCCTGCCTATTTTGGGGGTGTTCAGTGGCTGTCAATGTGCTTGAGGTTTCTTCCTTGCTTGCAAACCTACGCTGCATGCAGTCTATATACATACATATATATATATATATACAAAAACAATTCATGTGTGCATATACATATATTCTATATGCATACCTTCATTCATTCATTCATACATGCGCGCACGCAATGCAGTGACGCGCAATGCAGCGCAGTGCAATGCAAAAACCGCTCATGTGTCAATCAACCATTCATGCATCAGCAGAGTAATAACATGAGTACACAAAGGCCAAAATAAATGAATACATTCATGAACACATTGGACATTAGTACCTGCCCGCACTCATACATTGGTACATGCATCCATTTCATTCGCTTCACTCATGCATTCAGTCAGTGAGTCAGGCAATCATTAGTTCGTCCGTTCATTCATGCGTTCATTCATCCATCCATCCATCCATCCATCCATCCACTTGACCATCGTCTCATACAAGCGGAGACATAGTCAGTTATGTTCTTTGACATCACAAAACCATTAATATCCCTGACGCACTCACAGCTTGCAGGCTCGAAGCGGTGAGCTCCATCAGAGAATCGGCTTCCATCTGCGCTGTAGGGCTGAAGGGGTGTTCCGGCCTCAGAGATTCGCAGGCATTCTCTGGACTACTTGGAGTAGCAACCAGAAATCGTATGATTTCCAAGACAGATTTAATGTTGTGGATAATCCTAGGTTCCCAGCCCTGTCTGTGACAGGAAATCCGGGAGCTCATCATCCTCGCCCACCCTCTCCTGGCAGTTTCTCTCAAAGCTTGCGCTCCACGGGATGTTGCATCGCTGTCCAGCCGTCCTCTTCCTCAATGCCTCGCAGCTCTATGCGCTCGCACCTCGGGTTTTGGATTATCCGAGGACCCGCCGCGCACTCTTTCAGCCGCAAGCCAAGGCGCAGCTCCCGTCTTGCCTTTACACCCCGCCAGGAGCACTGAAGCGCTGTGGCAGCCACATGGCGCCTGGCATGCTCTCGCCGCCTGCCACTGGCTCATAAGCCATAATTGCATAGTTCAGGCGAGGATTCCGGCTCGCAGACAGGTTGCCTAAAACTAACTTCGAGCTTACAGTATTACAGTACTGTCCATGCAACCTGTACACAATGCGCCTCTGTCTTCGGATCCTGCATGTGAACCGAGTATGGTCCCGTATGTCAGGAAACGACCTATAGGCTATAGGATGGCTGCCACCCACGAGCTCGCTTGGTACGCCTGCCGCGCTTTGCGGCATGTCGCCGCGCCGTCCTCCGCCAGGCACCTCGGTGACCGCTGGTCGAAACGGATTGTGTGCGAAGGAAGAACTATGATCTCCCAGCGAAATCTCAAACTTCTATCCTCATGGTTGCGATTGAAGCCACATGAACAGTGGAAACTTAACTCGCTTTACTCCAATTCCGAAATTTCCGCTCCTGGCCGAGGGGCGCTGGAGAGTGGCGGCCGCACGCCGCGCCTCCTTCAGCTGCCGCACCTCTGCCTTGCAGCCTCGGTAGGGTTTAGGTTTAGGGTTTAGGGTTTAGGGTTTAGGGTTTAGGGTTTAGGGTTTAGGGTTTAGGGTTTAGGCAGACTTACAGATTTCAGGTGTGCGGATTCTGGGCTCAGCCTCACCAACGGTTAGGGTTCACAAAGCGCCTGCCACCGGTCCGGGGCACCAACGAAAGGAGTATCAGGTTCTTAAAGCCTGGGGAGCCATACAACATCTCAGTATCCTGTCCTGCGCCTTTCAGGAGCTCGCACGGGGAATACCCCAAAATGACATACCATGCTGCCAAGTTGCGCCAGGTCTTCTGCACCTGGGTTGCAGCAGCGCTCGTGGCGGTCCTTACAAACAAGCCATGATAGGCAATCCTCGAGTCTGCGCTGAAGAGCTGGATAGCTCTGCATTTTCGTGTTGGGGCACATGAAGAGTGCAGAAAGGCCTAAGGCTCTGGAACGAACAGAATGTTGGATCATCGATAAAACTTGCTGAAGCAGAAGGTCGATTTGGCATGTTGCCAAGTTCTGAGACATGACTCCTGCAGATTCTAGATGGGCAGACGACCCCTTGAACTCAGGCAGGAACGAGCATTGAGTCTACAGTCACTAACTTCCTTGACATGTCTGAGAGTCTTGTGGGCATGCGGCATGCGGCATGATGAACACCGTAAGAATTGTGACTGCTATGAACCTTCTTGATGCCATGCAGGTTTGTCATGCGTTCCAAGGCTCGGAATATTGGCTAGCACACAAGAAGCCTCCTGCAGGTCCGCTTTGGCATGCATCTGCTTCTTCGAGAGATCCTGGATTGCTCAGGTATAGGGCTTAAGAGACTGCAAGCGCTTACAGTATTCTCCTAAACCCTAAACCCTAAACCCAAAACCTTAAACCCTAAACCCTTACAGTGTTCTTCGTCTTCACCTCTGGTTGGCTTCTGCGGTCCTGGTAACGCCGCTGCAAGTCTGCCAGCTCCTCCTCGAAGAGTTCACTCTGGGCTTCCTCCGAGAGCTGGCAGGCCTCGGCCCCAAGTCAAAGCCCCAGAAACCCGAAAAATCGGCCTAAACCCTAAACCCTAAACCCTAAACCCTAAACCCTAAACCCTTTGCCCTAAACCCTAAACCCTAAGCCCTAAACCCTGAAGGCCTTCTGGGTGTTGACCAGCTGCTCGTCTCTCTGAAGGAGCTCGGCCTGTTCTCAGGGACAGCTTTGGGGGTCGAAGCCGTCAACACAGGGTTTAGGGTTTAGGGGGTTTAGGGTTTTGTTACCCTTCGGACTACTTTTCGTACAGAGTTGAACAGGAAGACTTCTCAACAAAATGTGCTTCCCTCGCGCGCATACCGGATGAGACATGCACCGCTGCCCGCTGGCCTTGAGCCTTTGCATTCGCATCTTGTACCTCAACCAGCTTTGATGCTGGATTTAGCAGGGAACGAGTCGAGTGAAGCTCAGCTTCATGACCAAGAAGACACCTAATTAAGGACCCAGGGTTTAGGGTTTAGGGTTTAGGGTTCTGCCTGTGGGCATGAGTACGATCTCTCTGTGAAACGTTTTCGCCCTCTGTCTCTCTTGCTCTTTATCTGCTCGGTCTTGGTGACCTGCCTCCGCTTTTATTTCACCACGTCGACAGAACTCGGCAAGATTGATGCATGAGGCCTATACTGTGCTTCAAAGCTTGGGGCTCCGGTCTGCCGATATTGCGTTTCGCCAGGCAGTGGAGGCGGAAAGAAACAAGAAGTGCGAGCAACACACCGGGGAGGTGGAGGAAGAAGGAGAGAGCCATCCAGTTTTCTGCAGGGGATTGAAGCTGGGTTGCTGACTTGTCACACTCCTGGTTTTGATCACTATGGCTTCAGCCAGAAGACGCCAGACTGCCTGACTTCTTCCCCGGTCCTCTGTGGTCCTTCCGTTTCCGGAGATGTGCTTTTTTGCTTCAGCTGTTGTCTTCATTCAGGGAGAGTTGCTGCGCTTCCTTGCTGCCCAGCTGCACGTGTGAAGGCATGGGCTTGGCAAGCGACCTGTCGTGCTTCCGAGCTGGCTGTAGGCAGTTCTGTCCAAAGCACTCCAAAATTCCCGCAGCTGCAAATCGCCGAACCACAACCAGCATCTGCATGCAGAGGTCTCTGCATTGTGCTTGCCGGACTGAACAAGTTTCTTCAGTTTGGACAGCAAACAGAGCCGTGACCTCATCTCCTCAAGCTCAGCTCGCATCTCAGCGCAGTTCCTGCATCGAGAAACACCGCACAACTTCTGGAGTTTTGTGCTGTGACCGCTGGCGCTTGCATGCGAATGCCACCAAGTTGCTTTGCGGCCTCTGAGGTGATGCTGCGCAGCCTGGCCATGTCAAGGCTTTTCTGAAACCATCGTGGGGCTCACGGAGGTAGCAGGAGAGACCAGGGCATAATGATTTGGGGACAACCCGAACTGGCGCCTTTCGATCTGCTCCTCCTTCTTGTTTCGGCGTTCCACCGAGGTCTTCAGCTCGCTCCTTCGACGAGCGTCCTGCAAAAAGACGAAATCAAACTTCTCCTTTTGGGTCTCGTGCCTTCTATCTTTGCCGTCGCCTCGATAGGAGCAGACAGCACAAAGAGCGCAGGAGTTCGGGGTCAGGGCGCCTGCAACAAGTGCTTCAGGGGCCAAGTCTACTCAGCAAGCCTCCCAAAACTGCAGCTGCTAGAGGCTGGGAGTGGCAGGGAGCCAAAGCTCCATGTACCCCAAGACAATAGAAACCCCCTCTGTCCCCAAAATCCCTCCAACCCGAAACCCAAAAGCCCCCACAATTTCCCTCCCCGGCCCCTCCTCATCTGCAGCTCCCCGGCCACCCCGCGCCCTCTGCTCAGCCAGTTGCCGCACGTCCTCTCGGAACCCAGACATCTGCACAGCTCTCTAGATTAGGGCCCCTCTCAGGGTCCTTGTGAAGTAAGGGTGGGGACACTAAGAAGGGACCCTTATTTAGAGAACTACCCACTTATTGAAAGTCAAATCCTCCCGCAGGTCCTAGTGCACAGGGCGTCCATGTAGTTAAAAGGGGGTCCCTGCAGTGAAAAGAACTACAGAAATAAGTTCGCAATTGGGGCTCCGCAAGGCAGAAAGGCGCTATTCACATTAGATATCCAACTAGGCAGAAGCAATACCTCAAAGCGAACTGACTTGACAACGGAATGGGAAAAAGAGTGGGATAATTACACATCTGCGCGATGTGCATTGATCGGCACATGACCCCAAAACCCTACAACGGAAAGACCCTCACACCCTAACGCAGAGCCCTGCGAAACCCCGTAGACAAAACCCTGCAGACAATCCTACGATGTTACAAAGTCCTACTACCCTAAAGCCTAAACCCTATATAAACCCTAAACCCTAAACCCTAAACCCTAAACCCTAAACCCTAAACCCTACACCCTAAAGCCCTAAAGCCCTAAAGCCCTAAAGCCCTAAAGCCCTAAAGCCCTAGACCTACAGCC